CAGTATTACCAAGTATGGGATTCTGGGACCATTCTGTGCTAGAATTAGGCAACCTGATGTACCTGTATGCCTCATGAGGACAGTGCATAATTTATATCAATAATGATGATTCATCAAGCAAAGGTTAAATTCTCATTGTCTACATTCTACTTAAGAAAGTGGTATATACGTAATACATACATTAGTTTCTATTCAAAATGATTATAAAACAGAATTATGGTGCTTAAGAGAGAAGCTCTAGCCATCTGAAGAAAAGAAAATCACTATTGTTAACACCTTAATCACAAACATGGATAAAGGGAGCATTATTCAATTTTTTATTTTATTGAGATATTGTCTTTATGGTCTTCAGTTAATAGTGATTCTGAACAACTTTGCTGTATTTTCCCCTACCTCTGGACCTCAGTGACTTTCACCTAATTGTTAGTGATACATAAACACATATTAAAGTGTGCTAAAAGAAATCCTTCAGTGAATCTCTTGGTAATTTGAATAATTTACTGTATTTGTTAGATTTAAGCATTAAAATATTATCTGTTCTGTGCATGGACCATAGTACATCTGATGATCCTTATACTATGTTCTACAGTATTATTTTTTTTCTGGAGTAAATAGCTTAATACCCATTCATGGTCCATTCAAAAATCTTTCATTTTTTAAATGGTAGTGAGATGTAAATCTTAATCCTCAGAAGTTTTTCAGGCAATAGTCTAAAAAGTGTTCAAAAATCAGAATAATTTTCTTTAATTTGCTATCCACTATACATATTTTTAGGGCTCCAAAACAATCTAAATTTTAAAAATAGGGGGTAATTATTCAAAATATCCAAGAATTCAATGTAGGGTTTCTTTTACTAAAGTTAAATATACATTGCCAAATGGAATTGTTAATGTAATTAAAACATCAGGTGTTAAAAATTCAAGAACCAGGTGCCTGGCTGGCGCAGTCAGTAGAGCATGAAACTGTTGATCTAAGGGTTGTGAGTTCAAGCCCCACATTGGGCATGGAGCCTACTTTAAAAAAAAAAAAAAAAAAAATTCAGGTACTTATTTTGTCATGAGTTGGCCTGGTTTATGCCACTGGTAGAGATTATGGTGATGAAGGCAAATTGAACTTTTCTCTAAAACACTATGTCGATCACAATTAAAAAACAACAAAAAACACTATATGATGACATATAGTTTGGTTGTGGACCAAACAAAAACATAAGGTCCTTGCTTCAGAGACAAAACGGTCAGACAGAACTTTTCAAGTAAATGATATGGGAGATTTTCCCCTCATGGGTGAGAATTCTCTCTCCACTGGCAGAGCTGTGAGCCTCCTTTCTCTGAAAGGAAGCATTTGCCCCTGGTCTCTGATAAACTTTTTAGAGTGTGCCTTTCTCCTTAATTTTGTATTCAACACAATTTTGTATATACCTCTCCTCAACTATTGTGTCTTTTCCAGGCCTTTATTTCTTAAAACCATCTCAAAGGAAAAAGAAATGTATATGATGGGATGATTTTATTAAGTGACTAATAGTCCCTTCTAATAGAAAATTTATGACTTTGTTGCATAGCAGAAAATTGAAAGAATGTGGAGTCAGAAGACAAGTTCTGTTACTTTCCAGCTTTTGTATTTTTGTCTAGGCCTTTTACCATCTGAGCCTGTTTTTATAACTGTGAAATATCCTGCATGTTCCAGAGGATTATAGTGAGGTCCAAATATGAAATATATGAAAGTACTCTAAAATGTAATTTTCTCGTTGAAGAATTTAGGTTAAGGTTTGAGATTCTGGGGGGGGGTGGGGTAGGGAAGGGGACAGGAAAATAACTGCTGCTTCAGAAAAGATAGGCCCTAATCCTTTTTTTTTTTTTTGCTTCCAAAGGTCATTTCTTCATTTGATATGATGATGTACTTTAGTGCTTTGTGCCTGCAAATTTCAAGACACCTTCATCTAAATATCTTCAAGACTTCATGTCATGAAGCACCTGAACAGGTTCACAAGCATATTGACTAATAGCCCAAGGAAAAGAGGAGAAGCAGTTAGGGGAACCTATGAGTGAAGGAAATTCCCCTTTGCAGGAGGCTAGTATACAATAAATAAGGTTATATTTGAATGTAAAACATTAAGTCCTGTAGATTCCATTATGTTTATTTCAGTTGTAAAGCCCTCACTGTATATCGACATTTTTGATCACAGGTATTACCAGAGTATTACAATATATTAGTTAAAAAGAAAGCCAAAGAAAGAAATTTCAATTTTCTGAGGATAAGAAAGTAAACCACTGTGCTTCTAAAGATGAGTCTCTTTATCTCAGAAGTCTTTATCAGATACTTTGGGTTTTCATTGCTAAGGGATTACATAAAAATTTAGGACTTGGGCGCCTGGATGGTTCAGTTGGTGAGGCAACTGACTTCGGCTCGGGTCATGATCTCGCAGTTTGTGAGTTCGAGCCCCGCATCCGGCTCTGTGCTGACAGCTCAGAGTCTGGAGCCTACTTTGGATTCTGTGTCTCACCCTCTCTCTACCCCTTCCCTGCTCATGCTCTGTGTCTGTCTCTCAATAATGGATAAATGCTTAAAAAAAAAAAAATTTAAAAAAAATTTAGGACTTAAAGGATTTTAGCCATATTAAGGGCAATGCTTACTTTAATTGCTAAAAATTGACAAATGAGTTCATAATACCATATAAGTTCATGGATTGTAATACTGTAATTATTGAGTCAAATGATGTTATGATTTTTTTTAATTAGCCATTTTTCAAAAGAGGTATGTTAATTACTGTTGTATAAAAAGAAATACTTGCTTGCAACTAGAATTTAAATGGGCTACTGGAATTTTCTATAATTTGTATTTACTAAAAGGAATTTGTCTTACCAGTTCAGAAAACAAATGAATCTTTATACATTCCTTGATATTCTGAGTTAAAATTAATTTTCACAAAAAAGTGGACTTTAAACATTCCCTTTTATGAATCATTAAACAGCAGCTAAAGCACAGTTGACATAAGAAAATTAGTAATTTATGAAAACATGGCAATATCTTCCCTTTAAAATTTCAGCAAAATTAACCTCAAATACACATGGGCTCATGATGGGGAGATGATATAAATATCAGTTGTCCCACCACTAAGTACATTATGTACTGATTATCTTTCCACTCTCACTTAAAAGCATTTATGTTGCTCATTATGAAAATTAGAACTATTACAAGGATTGTTGTGATTCACACTCCCATCTTACCTTATTTTTAATTTTATCCAACAGTCTATAGACCTTAAGCCATACGATGAAATAATCAAAATTAAAGGAGTAATGAACACATACTGTGTCTTAGACAATAAAAAGGTATATTGAAAATATAGTGAAAGGGGATTATTCTTTAAAAGGAAAAAAATATGTAAATTAAGTACATAGAAATCACTCTGGAGTACTTATTTTGCCTCTAACTATTGGTAAACTTTTTAAAGTGTTTGGATAGGACTTTTTAAAGTGTTTGAATAGTACTTAAGATTTACATTCCAACTTTGGCTTAAAAGGGAAGTCCTTTACAAAATGCAAAAAAAAAAAAAAAATTGGAACTGTCTCCTTAGATAATCATTAATTTTTTTTTGTATAACTTATCACAGCTAGAAAAAGAGAATCAGTATGGGCTTATTTTTTAGGCTTGGAAAATCTTAACTAAGGTAAAAGTGGGTAATAGGGGTAAAAATTAGAATTTAAAACATGGAAAAACAGGAAAAAATTACTCCTTTTCCTCTAAGGGCATATTTTTGTTTTGACTGATTCAATGAAAGCAATTTCAGCAAAAAATAGTAAGTTTAACTTATTTCAAACAAATGTGAAACAATTTAATATTTATTAAATCAAGTGTTTCATATGTTATGCTATGTTTTAAAAAATGCGGGGGCGCCTGGGTGGCGCAGTCGGTTAAGCGTCCGACTTCAGCCAGGTCACGATCTCGCAGTCCGTGAGTTCGAGCCCCGCGTCAGGCTCTGGGCTGATGGCTCAGAGCCTGGAGCCTGTTTTCGATTCTGTGTCTTCCTCTCTCTCTGCCCCTCCCCTGTTCATGCTCTGTCTCTCTCTGTCCCAAAAATAAATAAACGTTGAAAAAAAAAAATTAAAAAAAAAAAAATAAAAAAATAAATAAATAAAAAATGCGTATTTTTAGAGACAAGGTATAAAATCAACTGTTCGTTTGGAAATGAATATAATCAAACTTCTATATATTTACTGAATATTAAAACTGAAAAACAAAATATTTTCTAGGTAACTTAAAGACAGATGTGAAGCATTTAAACCATAAGTAATTAAGTATGTTAGACATACGTTTAATCGTTACTAAGGGCATGTGTCATTTAATTGTGGACCAAATCCAATTAAATGGCATTTTGATGTTTTTGTGGAAATGACATATTCATAAATCCACGTCTTAAAACTGATTATTTATAGATCTTGTTTGGTTTTCTTAATAGTTTTTAGCAGTTTATTTCTGAACACAAACTTAGGTTTCTTTTAATAAATTTTATAAGTCAATAGAATAGATTTTCTTTTGAAATCTTAATTTCATTAGAATTGGTTGTGCAACTTACTGAGTATACATGATAGGATGTATATATAACATAGATTTTGTACATTTTTTCTTAAGGAGGAACAATTTAACCTTTTATGCTTGTGCTTTCTACCTTTTGGGACTAATGCAGACTGAAGCCAAAACCTGAAATTAAATCATTTTTATTGCTAAAAATTAATTGACAAGTGTTAAAAAGAAAAATTCACAATTACTATTAAAGAACTGAAGGCTTAGTATATATAATTTAGGAATTGCTACTACTCACATAACTGTTTAGCTTTATGTGAAGGTTAACAGAAAGGGGTTCTTGCACTGAAGCTAAAGATTAACACAATGTATTATTTTAAACTAGAATTTTTAAACCACTCTAAACAATTACATTCTTCTTAGCTAATGTTATAATTGTATCATATCATTTAGGTTCAAGTTCTTCCTTCAAAGAGTCATCAGAATAACATGGATTGAAGAGACTTTCGAACACTTGCCATCTCTTGCTGCTGCTGTTATGTGAAAGGAAATATTAAACATTTGTTTAATTTTTAGATAAGTGTTATACATATTTCAGCAAATAAAATATTTCAGTGCTTGCATTAATCCTTATTTTTTCTCAATTTAAAATATAGTGACTTACAGTTTCCATCATAATTTTTTTTTGCAACAAAGCCATTTCTTTTCTAAGTTCGTTTTGTGCGCCCGTAAGTAGATTATCATGATTCTTTTCCAAGTCCTCCATACTCTAAAATGCAAAAGGCTAGTTCAGTTACCACCACTTTACATCTCAGATTCTAAACCTGTATAATTAGTATTCAAAAGTAGGATCTTCAGGGGTGCCTGGGTGGCTCAGTCAGTTAAGTGTCCGACTTGGCTCAGGTCACAATCTTTCAGTCAGTGGGTTTGAGCCCTGCATCGGCCTCTTGTGCTGACAACTCAGAGCCTGGAGACTGCTTCAGATTCTATGTCTCCCTCACTCTCTGCCCCTCCCCTACTCGTGCTCTCTCTCTCTCTCTCTCTCAAAAATAAACATTAAAAAAAAAATTAAAGCGGTGCCTGGGTTGCTGAGTTGGTTAAGCATCCCATCTTGATTTTGGCTCAGGTCATGATCTCACAGTTCATGAGTTTGAGGACCATGTTGGGCTTTGCACTGGCAGCACAGAGCCTGCTTGAGATTCTCTCTCCCTCTCTCTCTGCCCCTCCTCTGCTCACGCTCATACTCTCTCTCAACATAAATAAACTTTAAAAAAATTTTTTTTAAAGGTAGGATCTTTAAATAATGTGCACTATTTATCTAAATAAAAATTTTCTAAGTAATAGAAGAAACCAAGACATGCACTAAAGGAATAAAAAGCATCAGACAGGAATCAAATGTTATTATAGGAGGTACGACAGTAGTGTATTTTACTCAAAATAACAAGTTAATGAGCTGTTAAGGTCAAAATAGAACCAAAAAAAAGAATACCATAATTTTTAAAATTTTTAATAAGCTTTCAAAATACCAGGTAGTTATGTTATTATATTATTATGACTAATAGTGGGGTGTGAATTTATTAGAGGGAATAAAATGATCTATAATATACTTTTTTCAATTTATGAGAAACAAATTATGTTATAAATCTTTACTATTCATCTAACAAACAGTGATCTTAACTCCTACTATATAAAAAGTACTATATTAAGTGTATGGAAAAATTTAGAAATAATAATACATGATCACGCTCTTATCACAGTAAGAAGAAACATAAACAATGCAAAATTTTGTAACAGGAATGGAAATGCAACTTGCTATGGCTATGTAGTAGAAAATACACGATTAATTCCAATTTAGTTGTCAAAAGAATGCAATTTCAATAGAGAAAGAAAAAGTAAAAGTATTTTAGGGCAAGGGCATAAGCATAATGGAAGTATATAGTGAGTGAGTTCAGAGAAAGCAATTATCTGGAGGAGTGGGAATTACCAGACAAATGTAGTAATTGAAGCATAAAAAGAAGATAACATTATGGGCTGGGGTGGGAGGGAGATCTTGAATACCTAAGAATTGAAAATGAGAAGTTACTGACTTTTTCAGGAGGGAAAAGATGTTTTAGGAAGATAGTATGACAGACCTATGAAGGGTAGTTTGAAGAACAGAAAGATCAGTTGAGGTTTAATAGTATAAGCAAAGAATGATGAGGTTGTAAACTAGGATAGTAGCACTGGGAATTGAGAGAACCACTGCAGAAGCAAAAATTACAGGACCTACTAATAAATGGATGTGAAGAATAAGGGAGATGTAGGAATCAAATACAATACTAAAATTCCTAATCTAAGTGTAACATTTAGTGATAAGATTTTTAAAAAATCTAGTACTTCATCTACCTTTACCCATTAGCAAATGGTTTTTAGAGTGCATTAAAGCAAGCTGATTGGGATCTTTTTTTTAAAAACATGTATTTATTTTTGAGAGAGCGCAATTGGGAGGGGGGCAGAGAGAGGGGGACAGAGGATCCAAAGCATACTCCACGATGACAGCAGGGAGCCCGATGTGGGCCTTGAACTCACAAACTGAACCATGAGATCATGACCTAAGCCAAAGTCAGACACTCAACCAACTGAGCCACCAAGGTGCGCCTGATTGGAAACACTTTTAAAAATAACTTTGGTGTACATACATATTAAACTTCTTTAAAAATAATTGTTTTAAACTATTTTACTAGTTTATTCAGAGCATCCCAATTCCTTTAAAAGGGGTGACATTTTAATATTTGAACAAGATTATCTAAAAGAATCCCCCACATCAAAAAAAAAAAAAAGTACGTGCAGGATTCCAATGAACTCCTATGAACTGATACTAAAAAAATATGTATCTGCATGAATAAGAGGGCAATGCCACAAACCACAATTTGCTAATATGCATATGTGTCAGCTAATTCTCAATCCACAAATTTTTAATCAACTGGCTTTTTCATTCTATTCTATGAGCCATCTCTTACAATTATAAGATGGCATATAAAGCTATTTTTAGTCACTGTAATAATCCTAAAAGCATATGTACCATAAAGCACATATATAATACAGTAAAAAATAAGATATTCCTCATTTTCAATTGGGTACTTTCTATTTAGCAAATATTAGAGATACAAAGACAAGTAAAAGACTACCTAAAATAATTAATGGACATTCTATTTTTAGTTAAGATAGAACTATTACTAAAGTTAATAAAGTATGAATTTTATGCATAATATGTACATTTAGGTAAAATTCCCAATTCACCATTTCCTGTTTTTAATAATCCCCACGATAACATTAGAGTCTTGAAATGAAAATATATTTAACACTTGTAACAAAATGGAAAGTAAGAATTTAAAATATGTAAGCAAAATTTTTCCCTTAAACTTAGAAGGAAAAAATTATCTTCTATTTCCAAATATAATGTTATATAAGAATGTATTACATAACCAAATACAACAGACCTTTATGAACTGCTCATATAACTGTCTAATTGTTTTCAGTCTCTGGTTCTGAACAATTCTAGATTGTTGAAAAGCCTTTTGTTGCTGTCGAAACAGGTTCTACAAATGTAAAAGAAAAAAATTATAACAATTTGGATAAAATTTAAAATTTAACAAAAAATAATTCTGCATTAAGTTTAAAAGGTATAGTTTTTGTATCAACACTGTTTTAAGGGGCACCTGGGTGACTCAGTCGGTTAAGCATCCGACTTCGGTTCAGGTCATGATTTCATGGCCCGTGAGTTTGAGCCCTGCATCTCACTTTATGCTGACAGCTCAGAACCTGGATGGAACCTGCCTCGGATTCTCTGTCTCCCTTTCTCTCTGTGCCCCTCTCTCAAAAATAAACATTAAAAAAATTAATCAACACTATTTTAACTATTATTACCAAGTTCACCACCATATACAACAATAATGTAATAAACCTAACAGCCATTGAGTAGGAACACTTAACAATACACAAAATATGTTTTAATTCTTGGTGCTTTCAGTATCACCCTGGCTAATCCTTCCAATAATTTTGATTTTTCAGTTTCTTGGCCTACTTTCCACCAATTTTTTTTTGTCTCCCATTCTACTTTAGCCATTCATGCACATACTCATACCCTAGATGTTGTAATTGCCAGTATCTGCAACCTCTACATAGTATTAACAATAGCAAACTTCATAGTAACCATGTGTTAGATACTACTCTGAACTCTTTAAATTCAACTTTCCAGCTACCCTGTCTGTAGCTGGTCATGACTTCAGAAAACCCCACACTTATATGCTGGCAGGTCTCACTTTAAATCATGATCACTGTGATCACTAGCCTAAATTGGTCCTTAACGCTACTTGGAAATTACATTTTCCTAGTCTATTCACTGGCCCACTCTTCAGGAAAGTATTTTATACCTTCTCATTTGACTTCAAAAAGCAACCTCTTTTCTACCATCCAATGACCTTAATTATTTCACTAAATAAATAGAAGTAATCCAAAAAGAACTTTGGTCCCCATCACCATATCTACCTACACAACTACATCTATCTGTGTTCACATACTCTACCTTATTTCCTATTTTTAAGGATGAACTATCCTTGTTCTCTGCTACAGCCAACTTTTTTACATGTCCCAACCATTCTAAAGAATTTAGCAATTGTCCCCCTCTTTCAATTCCTTATTTTTTCTCAAGATTATTCTTATCAGCACACAAACATGTTGCTCTTTCTCCATTCTTAAACAAAAAACCACACACTATTCCTTTTCTACTCAGGCTACCACCCCATTTCTATCTTTCCTATTCTCTCTTATTCTCATTTCAGTCAACTTTTTGTACTCTCTTTTCTACCAAATCATTCTGATCAAGAACACCAACAACCTCCACATTGCCAAATCCACCCTATGTGGCCTATAAGTAGCATATGACAAAGTTTATCCTCTCTCTTCAAAGGCTTTCTTGACTTCACTTGGAGTCTTTTTTTCTACCTATTAGGCCACTCAGTCTCCTTTACTGGTTCTCCCTCATCTTCTTGAACTCTAAACACTGAAGTACCTATTCCAGAGCTCAGTTCTTAGACTTACTTCTCTTTCACATTTACAATTGCTCCCTTGGTGATTTTATCCAATTTCATGGTTAAATGATGTATTTATGTTGAGAATTCCCAACTTTGTAAGTTCAACTCATGTCTCTTTCCAGAACTCCAGACTCATATAGCAATGGCCTACTCAACACATCCCCTTGGTTGTTTCATATTAACATTTCTAAAACTGAGCTGATCAGCCAACCCCTAAGATTATCTAATATGAATAGTACCTTAGCTCTTAAATAAGAAATGTGTGATAATTTTATAAATGAAAGAATTAAATACAAAGATAGTTAACATAGTTATATATGGGAGGGGCTCACTTCCATCTCCTATAAAGATGGGCATGTAACAACAGTCTAGTCATTAAAAGTAAACCATGTTTTAACCATAATGACTCATTCAGGAATGGGCAAATAATCCAAACTAGATCAATGATATTCCTCCAATGGACTTTTGTTTCTGCAAATTATTGAGAAAGTCTATTTTAATTCACTGAGGTTACTAAACCTGTAGCAAGTTTACAAATGCAAGAAGCTATCTTGCTTACCACACCGAAAGAGCCTATTAAGAGCTGGAGACAGAGCCCAAATGACACTATGTAAACAATCCTTCCTTATACCCATCCTGCTATGCCTGAAACCAAACTACTCCTGGACTTCTTTTATATAAACCAATAATGTTTTTTGTACCTTGACAATTTCTGTCACTTGGAACTGCAAGAATCACAACCAATACAGGAACAACAGCTTTTATAAATACGGTGTGTACCCATAATTCTCTGGTTTACCGTTCAGCAGGGCCAAAACACATAGCCAGCATGGGAAGTGAAACCCAGCTGAGTGTTACGGATCTACTACACAGCTAGGCTCTCCATTCCTACTTGACACTTGGTTATAATAGATTAATTATAAAAATAAGTGTGATACTAACAGCTAGTTTTTCTTCTTGTTCCTCAGCTTTCTGCACATCTATATCCCACTGATGAAACAAAGCCAGAAATTGCTGAGAATACTCTTGATTAAGCTTCTGCCTGTAAAACATAAGAATGAGTATTATCATATTTCATACCAATAATAGAAAAAACATTCAAAACAAAACTGATTTGACATAATTAATACTACAATAAAGGAAGGAAATAATGGCTCCTTAAATTTTCAGATGTGAAAACAAAAAGTAAAATAATGATTTATGCTGATTCTAGAAGTATTTATTTTCCTAACCAGCTGACAGAAAATCCCTCTTGTATGCTTTAGTTCTTAAAATCTATGGAAGTTTTATTATATATACAAATTTTCCAGAAAACTTCATTTTATCTCCATGCAGTTTATTTTTCATTTTCTCCAACTGAATATAGTTTCTGATATGATAAACAGATTCAATGAAATTACTATGTTTATCATATAAGATTTCCAAATAGAAATATTTCACTTAATTTTTCCCCATTTTGGTATGACAATGATTTTGTAAACAGTAACATTAAGCCATCAGCTAAAATATACAGATTATTTACAATAAGATTGATCTTTTTCTACATTGTTAAATAGGTAACTATCACAAGACTCATAATTTAGATGACATTTACTTTTTATTCAGTCTGTGAATTTATAGAATGAATATAAATAACCTTTATAGTAAAAAAAACTCAATGGTTATTTAAATGGAGAAAAAGATAATCACTGATTTCTAGGAAATCATCTCAAGTCTAGGAAGGAGTACAGTTATAAGACTAAAGAAAGGACTTAGAGAAAAGTAAAGCCAAATATATTTTTTACTAGAGACACCAATAAATAGAAAATGATAGTATTTTTCATAATTTGCACCAATGGATACTAAGAAATGATACAAACATTGTGTCTGTGAAAACCAACAACCTTACCTTTGTTCTTGTTGGGTTTTCCAAACATGTTCAATTTTCTGGTTACTAGTCTTGAGAGAAGCCTTGGTATACATTTCTAGTCTTTTTCTCTTGGCAAGGAGAGCCTTGTTAATGTCAGCTTTATTGAAAATAAATACTTATTAAAACTTAATGTTGATGAAAATTATTTTGTTGCCACATGTTCAAATTAAATAGGGGTACAGTTGGTTCAACAGTTTTGGAAAGACATTTAAAATTAAATCTTAAAGTAGAATATTAAAAAGCAAGACTTTTTTTCTAAGAAAACTTTCAGCTATTACTATCCCGATTCTGACTTTCCTAACTAAATTTTTTAATTTAGAGATGATTTAAAAAAGCTAAACATGAAAAATAGATATCTCCTAAAACATACCTCCAAATCTTTCCAGCATATTTTGTACTTCACCCCTGTGAAATTACATCAAAAAGCTTTTAATTAAGGATCAAAATATCACACACGCAGTATTTTACATACAATAGTTGCTGGACAACCAAGTAGACTTTTCTTAAAGTACTTTATATAACAGGCAAAAATTATTTTGAGCACATCACCCCATATCTTCAAATATTCCTGCAGAAGTCCTTTTCTTCCCGTGCTTATCAATTACTGGAATCTTCCCTGCATTGACAATAAGAAAGAAAAATATTTTCAAAACTAAGTATGCCATTTTTCATGGTAATTTTTCATGGTGTAGTATCTTAATTTTGAGGTCTTTTAGGATATTTTGCCAACATTACTGTTTAAAGCAGACATATAAACACAGTACTTTCTCTGCAGTTTGGATGCAATTAAATCAGGATCCATGACCATTTTATAGGAACAATTTTGCAAGTCTTCCCGTCTTAATGTCATAATAGGCCAGGTTTGTACTTACTTATTTTTACATATTATATTTATTTATGCCATAAATGTTATATATTTTATTTACCAATCAATCAGACATCTGGAGAATAATGACTGTAAAGGCAAGAGATGCTGTGTCAGCTTTTCTAACTCCAAATGAGAAACGTGAAGCACATCAAAATGTTTAAAAATAAAGTTTTATCATCGTTTAAAATGTAGTGCATTCAAAACAAGTGAAGTACAGGACATGGTCACTGCCCACCAATATTAGATATACTGTACCTTCAGTGACATCCTCCTCTGAACCACTCAGATCCTTTTTATCTTCTTTCTCAAAGTCATAGGCTCTTACGACCTGATCCTCCACTGATGTCTTCCCAGATTTCCCTGTATGCTTTCTTCCAGATGGCACCATATTTAGTTGTTTTCTGACTTTTAAAAAATAAGTCTCTCAAACCTTCTGAATCCAAAGACACCATTTAAGTAAACCGGTAAATTTCAAAATTAGCGCTATCAAATAAAGATTATCTTAGGTGAGTAACATCTGGGGAGTCTCCTCACTTAATCTGTTGGCCCGAAAGTTAACAAAGAAGATAAAGACAGCGTCGACGGTGAGTTTGCACCTGAGGACTGAGATCTGAATTTTAGTCCCGCTTCTGCCGGATTCTGGCTAAATTCGGGCAAATCTAGTTTGTGCATTTCAGTCACAGAGCGAAATTGTAGTTGTTGACAGGATCGGTCGTGAGCATGCCCCAAAATGAGTTTACAGCAAAATAAATATAAAATAAAAAAGGTTCTGCAATCTGTGCCTCGGAAAATAACAATTCCACCTAAGATTTTTCACAACATAGACATCGAGGACAAACGAAGAGACGCCCTCGGTTCATTTTAATTGTTTCTGACGGGTTTGGGGCGGGGACGAGGGAGAGATGCGCCCACAGACGAAGGCCCACCTCCTCCCCAGAGATAAATTTGCTCAGGGTCTCGAGACCTGTCAGAACCCACTCAGCCCGCGGCTTTCCACCTGGCCCTAGCCTGCTCAAGGCCCTGCCCTCGGTGAAGTTCACGGACTTGATTTTCCCGTCAGAGGCCCTACCCAGGTAGTGCCAGTCGGAAAGATTTGCCTCACAAATTAAGAGTAGCCCCTGGCTCCTTCTCCAGCGCTAGACAAAATCTTCCCCTCCTCACCCCTGAAAAAATCCCCAATGGCCGATGACCACAGATATAGGTCTTTCTACGGGTGTCCCCGCCACTCCAGCATCCTACAACCCAGCACCTCACCTGAGGTATCCGCTTGGCTGTCGCGACGTTCTTCTGAGGCAACTCAGAATTCCCGCAGGAGAAAAGCCAAGCGACCCTCGTCTGGGGGCGTCGCTGATTGGCTGGTGGTAGCGCGCATGCCTATAGAAGGCCACAGGTTCCGCCCCCACCGGCAACTGACCACGAGACTGCTGACCCAGAGTGCCTTGCGGGCGGTAGCCTGCGCGTCTAGTATGGTTGAAGTATGTTCTTTTCTAGTTTTGATTTTTAATTTAAGTTTCAAATTTTTGTAGCATTTGAAAATTGCAGAAGAATATGTAAGTAATGAAACATGGTTAAACACCATGTCATTTGTGAAGTAGAATTTTACCAGAACCCTTGGAATTTCTTCAGGATTGCCTTACCATCCCATCCCCCACCATTCCCCTTTCAGAGATTTTTTTTTTTAAATTATCCCGAATTTTGTGTAAATCTTCATCCTCCTGTTTTCTTACTTTGTTGCCTTTCATATGTGCCGTTAAACTTGCTTGGTTTTGTTTGCGTTTGGGCCATACAAAAAAAAGAAAAAATTGTACCGTATTCTTTGTAATATTCTGCGTCTCTTTACATTACGTCACTAAGAGAATCTATATTATTAGGTGTAGCCATAGTTCTTTCATTTTCACTGCTGTATAGTATTTTATTGTGACTCAGTGCTCCATAGTTCATTCCATGGACATGTGGATTGCTTTCAGAATATAGCCTGTATAAACAATGTCACTATGAAATTTTGATCTACATATATGCTAAAGTTTTCGCAGAGAATCTGGATGTGAAGTTGCTGGGTCATAGGCTGGATGACATTCAGTAATGGGGAACTGGTTTCCAGTTCCACCGACAGAGTTCTCATTGTTCAATATACTCACCCCTTGGAATAGTCAGATTTTTTTTTCTTTTTTCTTTTTAAGTTTATTTATGTTTGAGAGAGGGAGTGCCAGCAGGGGAGGGTCAGAGAGATAGGGGGACTGAGGATCCCCAGCAACTTGGGGTTGACAGCAGCAAGCCTGATTTGGGGCTTGAACTCAGGAACCATGAGATCATGACCTGAGTGGAAGTCTGTCTTAGCCATATGAGCCACACAGGTACCCCTAGAATAGTCACATTTCTTATTTTTGCCATTCTAGTATAAAATGATATTACTTTGGGGTCTTTATGTCTCTGTAATTACTTGTAAGATTAAGCTCTTGTTATGCTTATTGGCCATTTGCATTTCCTTTTCCATGAAAATCTCTTATTTGGGGTTTTTTAATTGATTTATAAGTCTTTATATATACCAGACATTAATCTTTATGACTGTTTTCTGTATCTTTTCAAAGAAACACATCTTTATCTTGAAGTCACAAAAATATAAAGGTTTTAACGTTTTATTTTTTAAGTGTTCATCTAGAATCGATTTTTGTGCCTAGTGTCAAGGTAGAATCCAGTTACTTTTTTTGCCCTATGTGGAACCCAATTTATGCTTTCCCTGCAACAGCCATGTTTGTATGACAGGTTTCTATATGTTTTGGGTCTGTTTCTTTATCCTGTTCCACTGGTCAGTCCCTCTATACCTGTGCCAAAAACAAGAGTTTTTCATCATTCCAGCCTAGTTAAATCTTTGTTGTCTAATAGGGTAAGTCTTACACTTTATTTATTTTCTTTAGGAGTATTCTGTGTATTCTTGAACTTTTGCTTTTCATGTAAACCTTAGAATCTGTTTTCCAAGTTCCATGGTGGGGGGGTGGGGTGGCGAATGTTGGATTTTTATTGGAATTGCAATGAATCTGTAGCTCAGTTTGAGTAAATGGGAGTCTTCTGTGCTTGAATATAGTATATTTTCCATTTACTTAGACCTTCTTTAATATCCCTCAATAAAGTTAAGTCTTTTTTTGTCTGTGCAGGGTTTGCACTTTAAATAGATTTATTTATAAATTATACTTTATTGTTATTTTGTTCTAACTGCTGTTGTTTAAAAATCCAGTTGATTTTGGGGCGCCTGGGTGGCGCAGTCGGTTGAGCGTCCGACTTCAGCCAGGTCACGATCTTGCAGTCCGTGAGTTCGAGCCCCCCATCAGGCTCTGGGCTGATGGCTCAGAGCCTGGAGCCTGTTTCCGATTCTGTGTCTCCCTCTCTCTCTGCCCCTCCCCCGTTCATGCTCTGTCTCTCTCTGTCCCAAAAATAAATAAACGTTGAAAAAGAAAAATTAAAAAAATAAAAAATAAAAAAAAAATCCAGTTGATTTCTGATATGATCTTATATCCAACAACTTGCTAAACATTTACTGCTTCTAATAATTTGTAGAGGCTGAGATTTTATAATCATATCATCTGAATAATGACATTTTTGTTTCTAATTCTTAGGCTTTTTTTTTTCCCTCCTTTTCTGACTGCACTTGCTAGAATGCTCAGTACAAAGATGAATAGAAGCAGCAATACTGGACATTCTTTCCTGTTTTAAAGGTTATGATTCTAAGATTTCCATTAAGAGAGATTTTGTTTGCTTGTTTTGTAATTCTGTTTTAAATCATGAATGAGTGCTACATTTTATTAAATTATTATATCTATTGAAATGATCTTTTCTCTTTATTTTGTTAATGCAGTGAGTAAGATTTATGTTTTTTTAATGTTAAATCAAATCTACATTCCTGTGATAAACCCAAGTTGATTATGATGGATTAACTTTTTAAGCACATTGTTGTTTGGTTTGTACAGTATTTTGTGTCCATTTTCATGACTGAGATTGGCTTATAATTTTCTGCCCTTATCTAGTTTGGAATCAAGTCTAGGTACATGGCTTACTTCATGTTACCAAGTTTTTGTTCAAATGCTACTATTCATATCAATGAGTCCTTCTCTGCCCCTACTTTTAGATATTATAAATGCAAACTCTGCACCTTATTTCGCCTCTTTCCCTATTCCCCTTCCCCATGTACCCTTCTCCCAACACTTACCATTTTTTATTGTAAAGGTAACTTATTTACTTTATTGTCTCCCCCAACCCCCATTAGAATGTAAACTCTGAAGGGCAGAAAGAATTGTATATAGTGTGAGGAACAGATCTAATTTCATCTGTTTCCAAATATCTATCCGGTTATCCCAACATCATTTACTAAAATGTCAATATTTTTCCCCCACTGATTTGAAATACTGCCTTTATTATCACTGCCTTTACTTATTTCCATAAGGACTGGGTCAACATCTGGATTTTCTGTTACATGCCATTGGTTTATATACCAGTACCACACTGAATTACAGACACTTATGAGTATATTTTAATATTTGATAGACCAGTTCCCCCATGGCTATTTTTTAGAGTTTTTCTAGTTATTCTTACATTATTTAAATATGAATTTTAGCATCATCTTATGTCTAAGAAAGAAAAAAGCTTGACTTTTTAAAGTTTTTGTTTAAATTCCAATTAGTTGGGGCGCCTGGGTGGCGCAGTTGGTTAAGCGTCCGACTTCAGCCAGGTCACGATCTCGCGGTCCGTGAGTTCGAGCCCCGCGTCGGGCTCTGGGCTGATGGCTCGGAGCCTGGAGCCTGTTTCCGATTCTGTGTCTCCCTCTCTCTCTGCCCCTCGCCCGTTCATGCTCTGTCTCTCTCTGTCCCAAAAATAAATAAACGTTGAAAAAAAAAATTTTAAAAAAAAAAAAATAAATAAATAAATTCCAATTAGTTAACATACAGTGTGATATTAGTTTCAGGTGTACAATACAGTGATTCAACAATTTCATACAACACCAGGTGCTCACCATAGCAAGTGCACCCCTTAATCCCCATCATCTATTTTACCCATCCCCCCACCAACCTCCCCTCTGGTAACCAGCAGTTTATTCTCTATAGTTAAGAGTCTGTTTCTTGGTTTGCCTCCCTGTGTCTTTTCTTTCCCCTTTGCTCATTTGTTTTGTTTCTTAAATCCTGCATGAGTGAAATCATATGGCTTTGTCTTTTTCTGAATATTTCACTTAATTGTATGACATTGCAGATGGCAAGATTTCATTCTTTTTTATGGCTGAGTAATATATATGTATATATTATATTGGCACATTTTTTTAAGGGAGAGAGAGAGAATATCTTAAGCAGGCTCCACACCCAGCATGGAGCCTGATGTGGGTCTTGGGTCTTGATCTCACAACTGTGAGATCATGACCTGAGCCAAAATCAGGAGTGGGATACTTGACCGACTGAGCCACCCAGATGCCCCTATACCACATTTACTTTATCCATTCATCAGTTGATGGACAGTCCAGCTGCTTCAATAATTTAGCTATTGTATATAATGCTGCTATAAACATCAGGGTACATGTATCCCTTAGAATTAGTATTTTTGTATTCTTTGGGTATATAGTAGTGCAATTAATGGATCGTAGATAGCTCTATTTTAACTTTTTGAGGAACCTCCATCCTGTTTTCCAGAGTGGCTGCACCAGTTTGCATTCCCACCAACAGTGCAAGAGGGTTCTGCTTTCTCTACATGATTGCCAGCACCTGTTGCTTCCTGTGTTGTTGATGTTAGCCATTCTGACAGGTGTGAGGTGATATCTCCTTGTGATTTTGCTTTGCATTTCCCTGATGATCAGTGATATTGAGTATCTTTTCATATGTCTGTTGGCCATCTGTATGTCTTTTTTGGAAAAATGTTTATTCATGTCTTTGGCCCATTTATTTATTTTTTATTTATTTCTTAAATCTTTATTTATTTTTGAGAGAGAGAGAGAGAGACACAGAATCTGAAGCCAGCTCCAGGCTCTGAGCTGTCAGCACACAGCCCAGTGCGGGGCTCAAACTCACGAACTGGGAGATCATGACCTGGGCCGAAGTTGGCCCCTTAACCAACTGAGCCACCCAGGCACCCCTTTGGTCCATTTTTAAATTGGATTATTAATTTTGTGGGCTTTGAGTTTTATAAGTTCTTTATATATTTTGGATACTCTTTATCAGATATGTTGTTTGCAAATATCTTCTCCCATTCTGTAGTTTGTCTTCTGGTTTTGTGGATTGTTTCCTTCACTTTGCCAAAGCTTTTTATTTTGATGAAATCCCAATAGTTTCTTTTTGCTTTTGTTTCCCTGGTCTCAGGAGACATATATAGAAAGAATTTG